GAAAGAGAGAGAAAAAGGACATAATTCCTGCAACTTATTCTCAGGTATTCGAGCAATCTCAGGGATAAAATGCCTCTGTAGCCCAGTGCTGGACAGAGAGGAGGGTTTTTTTTCTAACAGCACAAAGAAGTGATGAAGTTTGTATTGGAAGTGTAGATCTACCTCACTGCATGTTTGCTAGGTGGGCTGACGTGTTGTCGAGCTTTTCAGTTGTGTTTTTTGGTATGTTTGGGATTTGTTTTCTTCTTAACTGTATTTTAATAGTCTCTCTCCCTTTCCCATGCACTGATGGAGGAATTTGGGTTTGCAGATCTGTGTGTGAGGATGGAGAAGCCAGGCAGTGCCATGGGGCAGGGAACAGCTGCTAGAGCCCATGTCGGCTCCCCAGCTCCAGAGTTTTTCCCAGCCTGGTGGCTTTTGAGGACTGTCCTCTGTTTCTCTCTCCTGTTTATGCTCATACACCCTCTCCCCACCATCCCAATGGGAACACTGCAGCCCACCCTGTGCCTGAGCCCTCCTGTTGCCCACGGGCTGGGGTGTCACACAGGCTCCCAGCAGGCTGGTGCCGTGTGGTTGGGGGTTGGAAAGCCAGAATGGTGGGCCCAGCCTAATTCAGGGGGTCCCAGCCCCATTCAGGGGAACATGGCAAGAGCAGACAGTGGCCAGTAGGGTGTTGGGAGACTGAGGGTTATCCTCAATCCCTCAATCCCCTGCCTTGAGCTGAGGGCTGGCTGTCCGTGACCCTCTGGGACAAGGGACTTGGTTCCAAGTCCAAGGGAGGTGAAACTGCTCCGTATTTTACTCCCTTCCCGGCTTCCCTCAAATGCTGACTCACCATGGCTGGGGGAAACTCTGGATGCCAGTTTTTGGGGCATTAACACTCCACTTTGCAGCCTTCCCAGGGAGGGCATCTCGCCGTGCCGGCGTCGGGCCGTGGGCGCAGTTTCTGCTGGTTTTTAGTAGCAGTAGGTTTAGATGTAGAGCAGGGCTGGATCAGATGGGGAGCACTGACTCCATCCTCAAGGTTTGGGGTCACCAGGGGGACTTGCTGAGGCTGCTGCAGCCCGGTGACCCCCGGCACGTGGGCATTGAGGGGGATGGAGAGCGGTTCCCCAGCTGCTCCCTGCCTTGCTCTGGTAGTTTTATGGTGAGGTGGTGGTCTCTTCTTGGGAGGGGTGGGGGGGAAGGACTTTTAGTTCCTGGCTAGCAACGAGATCTATACAGAACTACTTCAGGAAAACAGCTTTAGTCTGACGGGGTAAATGCAATAGAGCGTTGGCGGGGGGCTCTTGGCCTCCCCTCGGCACCTCAGCTGTGCCAGGGAAACTGTTGCCCCCCTAATTCCTGTATCTGTCCTCAAGAATCCTGTAGGACCTTCCCCCCCCCCTTCCTGCTCCCACTTTAATGGTCTGGTGATTTTTTCTGCTAGGTGTCTAGTGTGTGTGTGTGTAAATATCTCTGTAAATCTTTCCATTTTCTCTCAGTATTCTCCTTGATTATTGTTTACAAAAATAAGAGGGAAAAAAAATTAAAAAAAAAAATAGCCAAATGATCTAATAGGTTATGGACCAGGGAGATGGGATCTGCTCTCCCACATAGAGCTGCCAGGTATGAGCTCTGTTACCATCCCTGTCCTGGGCTAAAGCAAATAGAGGATCACTCAGGTTTCCCCCGGGGCCAGAGCGGTGCCGGGATCCAAGAAAACAGGGATTTTTTAATCTGCAAAGGGGAAGCCACACTGGAGAAAGATGGGATTGATTCTCATCATCATCATCTCCTTGCGTTTGCCATTGTGGTTCTTCCCGTTATCTTTGACAATAATTAACTGAATTGCTGCATCATCACCCACCCTTGCCCATGCTGGGCACTATGCATGAGGGGATGGGGCAACGCTCAGGGTCCTGCTGTGACACGGGAGTGTTTGAATGTATGAGGAATAAAATAAAGATATCCCTCAGGAGGGGGGTGTCTTGCCCTGGGGCGAAAAGCCTCGAGTCCCCCAAAAGTTGTCCACGAGGAGACGGAAGAATGTAACCCATGTTTACTGCTAGCAACCAAAGTTTGTGTCAAACCCGTGAAGTTTTATGGAGTTGGGTGGGAGGGAGGGGACGAATCGGGGTGGCTGTGTGTGTGTGAGGCTCAGGGTGACCCCTGAGTAACTCACACTTTTCCAAAGAGACTCCCTGCTGGAGTCTCTGCAGTGAGATTCCCCCGGTTCCTGTTGCCACAGGTTGCCCCCCTCCACCCCGTTCTCTTTATTTTGGGGGGGTTTTTTTGTACCAACTGTGTAAAATGTTATCTGGGGAAAAAAAAATAAAAATAATAAAGACCATGGGCAATGGCTGCTGGTGATGCTGTGTGTGTGGTTACTCTTGTTTTTCTCCCCCGGGGTTGAGGAGCCCAGACCCCAAAACGGGTGTCAGGTCAGGGAATTGGGGTATCTGAAAAACCAACACAGCCCTGCCACGGGATCACAGACTGGTTTGGGTTGGGAAGGACTTTGAAGGTCATCTTGTCCCACCCCCTGCTATGGGCAGGGACACCTTCCACCAGCCCAGGTTGCTCCAGCCTGGCCTTGGACACTTCCAGGGAT